CTGTTTTAATTGCAATAGCTTTATGTTTTGATACCTAGTAGAGCAAATCTCCCTGTTCATCTTCTTCAAAAAAGAATTTTTTTGCTATTCTTTTACATTTTCTCTTTCAAATGAATATTGAAATTAACTTGCCATGTTCTAAAAATTCCTGTGGCAATTTTAGATTAAGTTCCTTCAATGTGTAGATTAATTTAGAGAGAACAGGCATTTTTAACATCAAAATTTTCTACCTTCATTCTATAAATATATTTTAAGTGCCTAATCACCTTCTTTGTGCCAATCATTGTTCTAGCACTTGACACACACATCGATAAACAAAAAGACAAAGAATACTGTCCTGTAAAGCTTACATTGAACAAGGAGAGTCATGCTAAACAATAAAGTAAAATAATAAACAAGTTACTTATAAATTATGTTGGAAAGTGATATTATCAGAAATAGAAAGAAAAATAAGGATGATCAGGAGTATGGTAGTGAGTGGAGGTGGTAGGATTATCAAGGCAGGCCTTATGAAAAAGGTAAGATTGAACAAAACCATCAAGTAGAGAAGGGAGTTAGCCAACGGGTAGTTGAGACAAAGAGTGTTTCAATCCAAAGGAGCAATGACCACAAAGGCTCTGTTTAAGGAACAGCAAGAAGGCCAGAGGAGCTAAAGCAGCAAGAGTGAGAGGCAGAGGGATAGGAGAGAGGTGGTCAGAGAGGGTGAGGGCAAAGTATGTACGGCCTAAAAGGCAACTGTAAGAACCTTAATTTTAAAAAAAAAAGGTTTATTTATTTAATTTTATTTATTCATTCATTTATTTCAAATTTGACCAAAGAGAGATACAGAGAGAGAGAGAGGGAAAGTGAGAAAGCAAGCTACCAGGTTCGGGAATCGAATTGTGGTTGGCCATGTGGGAGTATCCAATGCCCTTACCACCACACCACCGCTGGCCCCAGAACCTTGGCTTTTACAGGGTGTGAGTGGGAGCCACTCTGCTTCACCAAGGAACAAGCCTGTGTTTCACCATTTATCCAGGTGCCACCTTTTTGTCCATCGGTCAACAGATTTCTTCATTTTGTCTTGTGTATTTCTTTTTATGTTTATTCTCAGATATTTTAAAAATTTATTGCTAATGTGAGTGGAGTATTTCTTCCATTTTACTTTCTTATTAGTAATTATTAGTAACTGAAATAACTATTGATTTGTATATATTCATTACATATTTGGAGGTCCCTTCATTTTCATCAGGAGGTTATCAATTATCCCTAGCCGGGATGAGTATTAGTATCTGAGTCTGCTCTCTGCTCTTAGTATCTCCTTCTTTACACATGTTAAACCTTAAAAGACTCTTAACATGTATCACATGTGTCACATCTTAGAATGTCTTTCCACATTTTATATCTAAATCCTGCTTCATCAACATTTCATATCCATTAGGATGGTTGCTATAAAAATAGCAACAACAGAAAAAATAAATCCCAGAAAATATCAGGTGTGGATAAAGACGTGAAGTAATTGGAACCCTGAGTATTATTAGTAGAAATGTAAAATAGTGCCGCTGCTGTGAAAAACAATATGATGGTTTTTCAAAAATTAAAATAGAATTACCATATGATCCAGCAATTCCACTTCTGGGTGCATACCCAAAGGAATTGAAAGTGCAGACATGAGGAAATATTTGTACACCCATATTCATAGCAGCCATCTTCATAATAACCAAAAGATGGAAGCAACCCAAGTGTTCATCAAAGGATGAATGGTTAAACTAATGTGGTATATACAAAGAACAAAATATTGTTCAGCCATAAAAAGGAAGGAAATTCTCATACATGCTATAATAAAGATGAATCTTGAAGATATTATGGTAAATAAAATAAGCCAGTCACAGAAGGATATATACAACATGATTTCATTTATGTGAAGGACTTAGAGTAGTCCAATTCATAGAGACAGAAAGAACTTTGACTGTCAAGGGCTGGGGAAAGGGAAAATAAGGATTATTACTTTATGGATACAGAGATTGAGTTTTACAAAATGAAGATCTGAAGATGGATGGTAGCAATGATATGCACAACAATGGTTGCAAAACAATGTGAAGCTACCTAATCCCACTGAATTGTACAATTAACAATGATTTAAATGGTCATGTTATATGTATTTTACCACAGTTAAAGAAAAAAAACCTGTTTCATCAGTACTTTTGAGTTTCCTGTTGCTGGGCTTTTAATTCTGTGAAGCCGCATGTGGTCCTTTGCACAGTTCTTTGAACTCTACCTTCCTTTCTGATCTGTCTCCAGTGTTATCTTTGAACCTAGAAGTCTTTGAGTCCTTCAACATTCACTTTTACCCGGATTATGGTTTCCCTTTTCTTGGAGCTCTCTTGTTGGCCCACTCTTTTATCTAATTCTACTCCTAAAACTCTTAGTTGGGGCCAATGCTCAATTCTGAGGAGAGATCTGAGACATAAAACACACCACTCTACAATAGAATTTGGGCTATCTGGACTCCAGGTATAACTTTAAACTTATTGCTGTTCAGATACATCAAAAGCTTGAGAAATAATATTTATGAAGGACTGCTTGAAGGATATACTGTTTGTCTACTTTTGGGGATCAGCATTTTTTTGTTTGTCATTTAAACTAAGGTTCAACAGATGAGCACCAGTAACTTTGGGAACCTGAAATTGTCTATAAAAAATTGTGCATATTTTTCTGGGGAAATGTTCCTAGGTTTTCCAAAATTTCTCAGTATGCTGTTAAAAACAATAACAACAACAACAACAACTAAACAAAGAATCTCTCTCTCTCTTTTTCTCTAATATTTGTTCTTTCTTGGATCAAGACAGAGCATCAAAGCCTTATCCCAACTACATTGTTTTGCCTAGGCTCAGAATGGCTTTTAATGAATAATACCTTGATACTAAGCCAATAACCTACATTGAAGGTCTTTAAGGAAACAGCCTCGGCCCTGAAAATGTGCTTAATAAGTTATCAAAGAGGTCCATAAAGACAAAGACAGCAAGATAATGATGGACATACATCTGTATGGATATCTCATTCTTTTTTTCTTGAGAGAGATTTTTGCTATAGGGTGTGTATGCTCGCTGAAGAAACACAGACGGGGAGACAGAAAGTGAGAAATCACTCCTGAGGGGGGATGGCCATGCTACAATCCCTCCTCTTGGGATTTTGGGCACACAGGTACATGCAGCCAGAGTGAGTTTTAAGCCTCCGGGTCCATGACTCGAGCCACAGTCAACTACATGGGAGCCCAGTGACATAACCATTACACCATCTTCTGGTCTCAGAAAGTTCATTCTCTGACTAGTTAATTACTGGTGCTATCATTAGACAAGAACAAATTATGAAAAAAGGCCAAGGAGGATGAAATTCCCTATGGCAGAATTGAAGTCAAATCAGATCCAAGCACCAAAGGTCCTTCCTTCATAAACTTAAGCATGGGACTGATATCCATGTCAATGGCAATACCTAGATAAATGTATTATATGTAAGATAGTATATGTACATTGAGTATAAGTGCATTTTTTTAGAGGTTTTTGTTATAGGGCGTGTGCCAGACAGACATAGAGAGACAGAGAGACAGGAAGCGAGAAATCACCCCCCAGAGGGGATGGCCACACCGCAATCCCTTCTCCTCCATTCTCCTCTCGGGATCTTGGGCACGCACGCACATGCGCCTGGTGTGAGTTTAAGCCACCGGGTCCGGGACTTGAACCGCGGTCGACTACGTGGGAGTCCAGCAACATAGCCATTACGCTGACTGCTGGTCCCAGTATAAGTGCATTTTTAAAAAAGGTTGAAATTACCTAAGATATTATGTAAAATTTTAACAACTCTTTCTCAATCTTAGGATGATTCTCTTTTATGTGACCTTCACATTCCTCTATTTAGTTAAAAATCCACCCCTCATCTAAAGTGAAGTCTTTAAAATTATCATGACATAAATTTCAAGTAGAACTAAGTTCTTTAACTAAAATGTAAACTTACCTCCTCTGCTCCTTTCAAATACACACACTCGTGCACAAGCAAACATATACCCAGACACTTTGGGACGTCCTGTAGCTCTTCTATTAATTTACAAATTCTTTAAAAATATGTCTGCAAAGAACTATGAAAGGTTTTTCTCTTTGTCAGAGAGAACCTTCCCATAAAGTAATCACCGATGTGAAACATTTACTTCTAGAACTTGGTAAAAGCTCAAACTTTCTCCAAAATAGCCATAGCAGAAACTGGTATTGATGAGATAAACTGTGATACTAAGCACACAAACCACAAGGTCTGAGATTGGATGGAGATCTTTATGAAAAAGGAAACAAATTCAACAAGACTCTTTTGATAGTGAAATTGTAAGCTCATATGGAAAAAGGAGGGAGGGATGTTAAGAGCAGAGGAATAATTAGATCATGATTCATTTTACTGTAACATCAATAATCCCAATTAAGTCTATAAACTCAGCGAAAGTCTCTATCCATTCCTATTTCCCCTTGAATGCTCACAGATCTGAGACACTTCCTTACCTTTGGCTTTACTAAAGACATTTCCACAATGGCTATTACAGTCTGGTTTTATGTTTTAAACACCTACAAAATTAAGTCACTTACCTCTCTGTCTCAAGTCTTTAAGTAGAACATCTCTCCTACTGTCCTCTAAAACACTACTCCCAGGTATGAATGAACACAATCATTGATGAGAACTAAAGACTTTCTATAATAGCTTCAAGTTCAACCTGTAATTTTTTCCCTCGCACCTTTGTAGCAAAAACAGATTCAGGCCAGGTCACAGGCAAATCTAGTCTGAATGATGCACTGAGTTTCTTGGAGATTCAAACTTGTAAGAAGCTTCTTAGTGGGCTTCAGTATAGTTCAAAAGTGCTTTAACAAGTGCCTGGAGAGTGCAGGCAATTTCCTGTACAATGGTATAATATAGTACTAGACAAATGCCATTAATGATTGTTGAACTTTGGGTATATCAGCAGATACAAGCTGCTAAGCACTTACCTGAAATAAAAGGTTTTGTGTATTTCATCTCAGAGAAACACCACCTAAGAATAAAACAAAAACCACTTGTCAGTTAGCTGAGGATCTGCTGATATAATAATGCCTATCATGTATCAACATTTACTGTGTGCAGGACACTTCACTAAGTGCTTTAATTACATTATGTTGTTTAATTTTCACTAAAACCTTGGACTAGGAGAAGGGAGTTATTCTTTTGTGTAGATGAAAATCCTGATGCTCAAGAGAGTTGAGTGATTTACTCAGGATCATCCAATCAGAAAGTGATAATGTCAAGATTTGAATCCCTGCTTGACTTACTGTTCTCAACTGCTATTCTGTATCATCTCTTTCAATTTGGCCACAGATGAAAAGAGGATTCTGAAGTGGGTTTCTAGGGCTGTAACTGAAAACTGTGCTCAGACACAATGGCTCAGCAGGAGTGTAATTCACAGCCTTAAAAGCCAAGATGCTACTGTTTGGTGGACCTGGTACTGAGCTCAGATGGAAATCCACTATTCTACTATGTGTCCACATTTCAGCATCCTCTCTTTTAAAATTTTTTGTCCCATAACCTCTTAGAGCAATATTTTCCAAAAATCTACTCCATAGACGATGTGTTTCTAAGATATTATATCATTATAAAAAATAAAGACATCTGGCCCCCAACCCAGATGTACCAAATCAGAATCTCTGGGAAGGGTTGGCAACAAGAAATCCAGGAAGTTGTTCTGTATATTAAATTTTAGTCTACTCATTGCCTTGGAGCAAAAAGCTAAAGTAATCAGAAGGAAATAAATGGAAAACTATCCACCGTAACAATCTTTTTTTTTTTGGAGAGGTTTTCACTATAGGGCATGTGCGCTTGCCAGACAGACAGAAAGAGACATAGAGACAGAAAGCGAGAAATCACCCCCCAGGGGGGATGGCCACGCCGCAATCCCTTTTCCTCCATTCTCCTCTCGGGATCTTGGGCACACATACACATGTGCCCGGCGTGAGTTTTAAGCCACCGGGTCCGGGATGTGAACCGTGGTCGACTACGTGGGAGTCCAGCAACATAGCCATTACGCTAACTGCTGGTTCCCAACCATAATAATCATTTTGACATTGGGTTCAGATAGGTAAAAAAAAATTAGGGCAGAGATCTTGCATGAAGGATAGGGACATAGTATTGTTTTGGAGCTAGAAAAAATCTTGCAAATTGTCTGTTTCACTGGTTTCCAAATAGTGCCCCATGAAGTCTTAGGAGTGCTAAAGTATAATATAAGAAAAAGGGATTGGCAATTAGAATTTGAGTCCTAAAAAAACTACTGCAGAAGTTCCACTGGTATGGGGCCAGCAGGTGGCATGGCAGTTAAGGGCGCTGGACTCCCTCCCATATGGCCAACTCCAGTTGGAGTCCAGGACCTGGTGCCTGGCTTGCTTTCTCTCTCTCTCTCTCATACACACACACATACCCAGAGTCCTTCTCTGGTCGAATTAAAATAGCAAAATAAATAAATAAGTTGAATTAAAAAAAAAAAAGAAGCTCCACTGGTGTGCACACACACACACACACACACACACACACACCACTGGTATATATTTTGTAACTTGGACTTTTGTGTAAGATTTTACCTAAATAAATGGTTTTGCTATTTAAAAAAAACAAAACAAAACAAAACAAAACCTTGGTTTCGCATGAGAATTTTAAAACAAAAAAAACAAAAAACCTTCAATGCTTAGCCCATATCCTGGACTAATTAAGTCAAATTTACAGGGATGGGTACCAGGCATCAGTATTTTGGTACCAGGTGATACTGATGTGCAGCCAAGGTACAGAATTCCTGGACAAATTGAATCTGTACTTCTCATTTGAGATAAAAAGTAAGACTTAAAGAATGAAAGGAGATCAGGACTAAAACCAACATCCCTTTACTTCAAGCCCACTATGATGTTCTCTGTTCACAATCCAGAATGAACCAATTATTCTTTTGAGGGAGAGAATATGTGAATCAAAATTATGTCATTTCACACTTACAGAGCTCTCTGGACTATTTCAGGGTATTTGATATATAATCTTTCTTTAGAGTCTTACTAGAATACTGTGAAGTGGTCAGGGCAAAACATTAAATCTATTTTACAGTCTTTTCTGGCTGGAACCATGGAAGGTGTTCAAGAGAAGAAAAAAAAAGAAGGTTGCTGCTGTGGTGGAAGCCACTGAGAAAAAGTTTTCTGCTGCGGCAGAACCCATCAAGAAGAAGGTTCCTACTATGCCAGAAACCCTTAAGAAAAAGTGAAGGAATTTTGCACAGCTGAAGATCAAGTGCCTGAGAAAGAATGTGCTCAAAAGATGCTTCGAAAGGCAAGTAGGATGCTTATCCATGAAAAAGCTAAGCACTATCATAAGGAATATAGACAGGTGTACAGGTGGGATCACATGGCCAGGATGACAAGAAAAGCCTGAAATTTCTGTGTACCTGCAGAACTCAAATTGGTGTTTGTCATCAGGATCAGAGGTATCAGTGGAGTGAGCCCAAAGGTTCAAAAGGTGTTGCAGCTTCTTCATCTTCGCCAGATCTTCAACAGCACCTTTGTTAAGCTCAACGAGGCTTCAACTAACATGCTGAGAATTGTGGAACCATATATTGCATGGGGGCACCCGAACCTGAAGTCAGTAAATGAAATAATCTACAAGCGTGTTTATGGCAAAATCAGTAAGAAGCAAATTGCTTTGACAGATAAACAGTCTTTGATTGCTCGGTCTCTTGGTAAATTTGGCATCATCTGCATGGAGGATCTGATTCATGAAATTTATACTGTTGGAAAATGCTTAAAAGAAGCAAATAATTCCTGTAGCCCTTCAAATGATCTTCTCCATGAGGTGGAATGAAGAAAAAGACCACCCATTTCGTAAAAGGTGGAGATGCTGGCAATAGGGAAGACCAGATCAACAGACTAATGAATTAAGGGGACCATTAATTGGCATAACGACTATGTCACTGGACTCCCATATAGTCAGCCATGGTTTGAGTCCTGGACCCGGTGGCTTAAACCCCTGCCGGGTGTGTGTGTGTGTGTGTGTGCATGTGTGCCCAAGATCCCGAGAGGAGAATAGAGAAGGGATTGCGGTGTGGCCATCCCCCCTGGGGGGTGATTTCTTACTTTCTGTCTCTCTGTCTCTCTCTCTCTGTCTTTCTGGTAAGCGCATGTGCCCTATAGCAAAAAACCTCTAAAAAAAAAGAAAGAAAGAAAGAAAGAAGGATGAGCTAAGGTATCCACCATGACTATTTTATAATCTGGTCAGTAAACAGTGGCTGTTTTCAGACTGCAATATATTGTTGTATTAGGAACTTTTTTGTTGGTTTGCCTCTGCCTTCCCTTAACTATCGTGGCACATCTTGGTGCTTGGTAAAATTAGGCCAAAACATCAGCAAAACTCAGGTCAATTTTATATTTTGTGAAAATTGCTTAAGAACTTACCAAAAGATTTTCCCACACCAAAAAGGCCCAAAGTTTCTCCTTTCAATTGTGCTGAGTAAAAGTGGGTTTATTCTAAGAAAGCCTATCTCACAGGTATTCATGCATGATTTGTAGGTAAGGTAGTAAAATTAAGGTCAGTTCACCAAAAATGTAAAAGCAAACAAACAAACAAAAAAACCTATTTTACAGATGAGAACTCAGAAGTCCATTGAATTAATTCACAGTGGTTTAGAATTAAATCTTTAACTTTTGGATTGAGTAAATTAAATTTGGCCAATGTTCATTGAGTGTCAAGTATGTGTTAGCTGTTGAGACATGGTTGGGCAGGCCCCATCATTTAGCAGTTAAGGGAGCCAGATCCCACATGGCCCACCATGGTTTGAATCCCAGCCCTGGCTGACTGAAAAACACACTGGGAGCATGTGCATGCATGCCCAGAATCCTGATTGGAAGAAAAAGGATTGCAGGGGTGCTTTCTTTCTCTCTTTCTATGGCAAGCATACATGCCCTCTAACAATTAAAAAAAAAAAAAGCCATGGTTAAAGATACAAAGATAGATAAGACATTATTCATTCCCTCATTTAGTATACAGTCTTTCTGGAAAACAAACAACTTAAATGCCGTACAACCTGGCTTATCCCTTGGACTAACAGAAACTTACCCCCATAATGAAGTTCAATTCTTTCCAAATTCAGTCTGTGACTTCTAATTTCTTATTCACCATGGCTACTAAGTCTAGGGAACTCAAGGGATTTGCACCTGTATGCAAGGCTATGTAGGGGAAAAAAAGTCTTTGGTGGGGGGAGAAGAGGGAGAAGAGAGGTGCAATTTCACTGAGCTTTACTTTGTATCCTCCAAAGTCAAAGATATTTGTATCTATAATTCATAGTGGTGGAAAAGATTCCAGATGAACGACAATGTTCAAAGACAACTTTTTCATGTGGAATTCATCATATGTTCCAAAATGTTGCCACCCAAATTATTATAATAGGACAGAGAATAAAAGGGCCAGCTCCATAGCTTAGTGGTTAAGGGAGCCAAATCCTACATGACCAACTACAAGTTTGCATTCCAGCCCCAACAGCTTAAAAATAATCCTTGTAATTGTGTGTGTATGCCCCAAGTCCCCACAGGATGAAGAGATAGAGGAGAAGGGATTGAGGCATGATCACACCCCAATGTGGGGGAGGTGCTTTCTCTTTCTCTGTCTCTATGGTAAGCACATGTATCCTCTCGTAATTAAAATTTAAAAAAAGAAAGAGAGAGAACCTATGTTTTATTTATGGGCTAAGAAAAGTTGTCAAGGTATAGAATAGCCTAGTTATTCTAACCCCTGGGGGGTGATTTCTCGCTTTCTGTCTCTCTCTCTCTGTCTTTCTGGTAAGCGCATGTGCCCTATAGCAAAAAACCTCTAAAAAAAAAGAAAGAAAGAAAGAAAGAAGGATGAGCTAAGGTATCCACCATGACTATTTTATAATCTGGTCAGTAAACAGTGGCTGTTTTCAGACTGCAATATATTGTTGTATTAGGAACTTTTTTGTTGGTTTGCCTCTGCCTTCCCTTAACTATCGTGGCACATCTT